CCACCCCCCCCAAATCCACCCACCGTTTGCACATGCAGCATCGCAGTAACACCACGGTCACCGAGTGGGTGCTCTCACGTCCGAGGTGGGGGCCGTGCCGCCCCCCTCAGCACCCCTTTGCCATGCTCTCATACATCAGAACAAATATTTTTCCCCTTGACAAACACTCCGACTATAACCAACACATCAACAAGTAACTGGGGCTGGAGCCCTCAGAGCTGGATGGGCAGCGCTCTAGCTTTTCACATTCTGCTTCATTTTTTATTCTATTACCTAACGCACAGCTCCGTGTAACCCAAGAACGGAGAAGATCAATCAAAACGCTGCACTGCCACGTGATCCCACCCGGGGATGCAGACTCGGCCGCAGCCCCCAGCGAGCGCCCAGCCCGGGCCCAGCACCCACCTCTGCCCCTTGTCTCGGGGACCCACTCATATCCCCCCCCCGAGGCCTTGACACACGACCTGAGAGACCTTACAGCTGCTTCTCTCTTTTTTTTTTTTTAATATAGATTAGAACCAGATGGGTTATCACTTCTCAATAGCCGATTACCTATTGCATTACTTAGGCTAAATCCTATTTTTCTCACTTCCAGCCTTTTCTAAAAGGCTGCACTCAACAGGAGGCTCATTTCAATACCGAGGGAAGATACTCATCTTCCAGAATGTCTTCTGCTTGGCAAAATTTGCCAGGAAAACGTAATGACAACAGCTTAAAACCCTCAGATAAATACAGGGCTGCTTTAGGAGCAGTGGTATAAGCTCCTCAGGAGCACTCCAGCCTCTTTCAAAAGTCCTACTCAAGACAGATTACATTGATGGCACCAAAAACTGGAAAAAAAAACCCTCCCTCTGGGACTCCGCAAGATGCACACGGGAGATGCTCCCCCTCCCCGCCAAGCACCTGCAGCAGAGGGCACACCCTAGGAGAGGTGCTCCCCGCCATCGTGCACCAGAGGCGTCCTGGGGCATTTCAGCCCGGCAGCCAGGTCTCTGTGCTCGGGGTAGAGCTGGGGGCTGTGGCGGGGCAGGCTGCTGCGGAGCACCTTCCCTGACTCAAACCACACCAGATCCGTCAAAAGGGACCTTCTCCAAAGGCCAGCCACGCCGAACCACGGAGATCAACCCCGATCAACCCCGGCTTCGTGCCTCCTCCGCTGTGAGGCCATTTTGGTCCTCCTCCATGTGAAGACTTATAAAAAGCTGAAGCGTCGGCTCTGAGATCCCCGGGGAAGCTGCTCCTTGGTGTGGGTGGTCAGGAAATGCTCTGCTGCTCTCTGGCAGGGCCAGAGGGGGCCGGGGCTCCTCGCTGTGCTCCCATCCATCCATCCATCCATCCACCCATCCATCCCTCCATCCACCCCTCCATTCATCCATCCATCTCCATCCGTCAATCCACTCATCCATCCCTCCATCCACCCCTCCATTCATCCATCCATCCTTCCATCCATCCATTCACCCATCCACCCATCTGTCCACCCATCCACTCGTCCATCCATCCACCCATCTGTCCTCCCATCCGTCCATCCGTCCATCCATCCATCCATCCATCTATCCATCCATCCATCCATCCATCCATCCATCCTCCCTCCCTCCCTCTGGCCAGCGCTCGCCCCGCCCGCTCTGTCCTGCTGCGGTCGGGAAGGCAGCTGGACCAGGACACCGACTTCTCCCCACTCCAGGCGCGAGGGTCCGGCCTCCGGCAGGCGAGGAGACAGCATGTGGCAGCCGGACCCCACCGAGAAAGCTCCTCAGGGCTGCGGGAGCACCCAGGACCCCACTCGTGGGCCGGGAGCGACTGCTCAGCCTTCTGCCAGGCTCCAGGCCGTGCAGCGGCTCAACACAGAAACTTTGTGCCCTCCCGGATGGCGGGTGGCTCCGCATCACCCAGCTGTGGCGATCCACGTTTCCGCCGGTGGTTCTGAACTCTGCTGTGTAATGTTGCTGCATAAATACTTGATGACATTACACAACCTTTGTTCCCTTGGCAGGGCCTGCGCTCAGGAGCGAGGAGGGCAGCTGGGGCTCCGACAGACGCGCTCAGATACAAACTTTGCTTCTCGCAGCAAGAAATCGGGCAAAACTCCTCCTGGCTACCACCGGCTGCCCGCGGCGGGGCTGGCGTCGCCCGTCTCGAGGGGGCTGCAGACAGCAGGTCCTGCAGGTCCCCCCCAAGGTGCGGGAGCTCTGGGCACATCGCTGTGTACCAAGGTCCCCCTGCCCCAGGCAGGACTGGCACCACGCTGCAGACGCTTCTGCTGGGCCAAGTGTGAGGGTTTCTGATGGAGAAAAGCAGAACTTCTCAGCTCCAGAGATTTCCCACGTAGTTCCTATGAGGTCTTCCAGCAGCATGGAGGGGGCCAGCGTGCAGGTCCTGAGCGAGGCTGGCACCCACCAGTGTTGACACCTGGGCTTTAAACCAGGCTTTAAGCCAGCAAAGGCCAGCGCTGCCCACCTGAGCGGGCAGGACACTGCCCCGCTCACCCCCGGAGCTCGGCCTCGGCGAGGCACCAAGCCAGCCCCAGGCAAAACCTGTCTCTACCCTCCCGGGCGCTGTTACCTGCATTAGGGCTACGAGAAATTCTGTATTTTAAATAACTGGCACCGCCTTGCACGTGCACCCTCTGGCAGGTGTGATCCTGGTGGGGAGCAGCGAGTGCAAGGCGGAGGAGCAGCAGAACACAGGATTAAATCAAGCAGCGGCCGGATTTGTGGAGCTCCCTGGCAGACAGGGTGCGGAGCGCTGGGCCAGCCCCGCCGCTCCCCCCTTCTGCTGGAGGCAGAGGAAAATCAGCGTTTGTCAAACTTTTTCATTTGGAAGTGGATTAAACAGGAGCTCTCAAAGCATTCCCCACGTAACAAAGTATTTCACTGGCTTTGGCGAGCTCGAGGAACCACGGACATAAATCACAGCGTTTGCTGTAACGTTACTAAAACGGCAAAGTCTTCCCGCTGACACAGCACGGCCAGCTGAAGTTGCACGTTTGTGCCTTTTGTCATTTTAATTCCGGCTTCTTTAAAACCAGGTAAAAATTCTCAGGATTTCTCTTTAAGCTGAACAGCGATATCCTGGTTATGCTAAAAATAACCATATAGGACACTACCAGAGCACAACCCCAGTCCGTGCTGTAACCTGCAGAAACGTCCGCTGACGGCGAACCCAGATACCACAAACCTTCGGAAAGGTTAAAAGCAGAACCCAGCGCCGCGGCTCGCATCGCTGGGGCAGGAAAAACGTTATTATTGTTCCCATGCAAGTTCCCCAAGCCAAGCACCAGCACCCTCCGGCAGCGGGGAAGCTCCCGCCGAGCTGCAGAGATGCTGCATGCAACGCAGGCACAGACAGGTGAAATGCAGACACGACTTCAACGGAAACTTGAAAGGAAAAGCCAGACATTAAATGATGCTGCTTTCTCATTCGGCAACCCCCCCCTGCCCCCGCCACCCCCGTCTGCCCACAGGCACCCGAAACCGGGTCAAACTCGCAATTAGAGCTCGGCAGCGTTAACGTACACAACACGGAAAAAAAAAAAATAAATAAAAAAGAGCAAAACAAGGTACGACCAGAAGCAGCGTTCGCAATGACGGGGTGGATACAGCAGCAGACTGTACCTTCCGTGTCGCCGGGGCCTGCCTCATCATTGCAGAAAAGACAGACGGAGCGAGAGAGAGAAAGGGAGAGGGGAGCAGAGACTGTGAGCGCCCTCGGTCACAACAATGCGGCTCTCGGCGCTCGCTCGGGAGCCGCGGCCGCCC